CAAGTTAAATACAGAAATAGTTTCAACTACCCAGTGAGCGTTTCAACGTTTTTTAGTGCCTACAGTCCTGTTATTGATGATGGTCCTGATGATGAACCGTTTGAAGTAGTAGCTGTAATAGTAATAATAATAATAATGATAATGATGATAATGATGATGATGATGATGATAAAACAAAAAAATGAAAAACAAAAAACGAATAGAAACTAAATCGCTCGTCTTGGGGATCAACAAGGACTGCGCGTTCCTCGGCGAGGAACCAGGTCCAGAACGAAAAGTCAGCTTCTGGAACGAACACCACTCAACCATGTTCAAATGATAACCCTAACGAGACGTCTCACAATGGACCATTGGACACAGAACGAGAAACCAGATAATTGCAAAGAAAGATAAGGAAAAAGTGGACAAGAGAGGAGTATAAACAAGTCGTGGAAGCGTACTATACAGCATCATTWAATCCATYCMACCAGTYARTCACCAARGAGGCTTATCAGTWATGGAGAGAAAAGAACCCAAGTACTAGAATGAATGTTGACTATAACAAACTCGCAAATGTAAGAAGAGATATCGAGAGAGAAAAACGATTATCAGAAAAGGAGATCAAGCTAGATGATGCGAATAACTGATGACAAAGACACCAGTTTGGAAGAATGAGGTTCTTAGGAGGTAAGAGATGAAGACGAGGGTAAGAGCGTGAGATGGACAAGTGAGGAAGGTAAAACGTCGCAGAAACAACTATCTCAACTATGTATCGGTCTACAATGAGACATTTACCTGAAAGAAACCCAAGATTGCCTCGTGCGTCTAATCTCTAAGCACGAGAACAACAAAAAGATGTACTCCATACACAGAGAAAGTAAAAGATTCAAGACCGAATGTGGCGAAACAGATGTGCTAAATGAATCTTTACCAAGCAAAAACGATATTTCCATAATTGAGAAAACAAAAAGGATAAAGAGCACCTACAAAGATCATCTGCAAATGAAACAATGTGAAAAATGAGAGTGATCTAAACCCCTTCATGGCCAATACATCAGGCAATTAAGAAAACAAAGCAGATGTCGACAAACAGAGAACACACAGTTAGTTAAAAGGAACAGGTTTGAAGTCAGAGACAGAGGGGC